GGCGGTATTTCTACGGGCAGCGAAAATTAGGGAAGCAAAGGAAATACCTACGTACCGCCTGCCATGCAGGCTAAAAGATAGCCGAAACATGGCCGCCGCAAAGGAGTTGCAAAATTTTGACTTTATTATTCTTGGCGGTGGAATAGCTGGCGTCTCTTGTACAGAGTATTTATCTAACTTAAATAACGATAAAACAATCTGTCTTATATCAAGTACATATTTAGTAAAGGCTGTTTGTAATATTAGAAAAATAGCACTAACTCTAGAACAGTATGAAGTTACAGAAAAACCACTTGATTCTGTAGCCAATGAATGTGGGAATGTTACCGTTGTCAGGGCGACCGTTGTTGGTTTTGAACCTACAGGTATCTGTAATATTTTATTCATTGCGCCAATTTATAGTAGAGATAGATTATCTATCATTTCTATCAATATAATCCTGCGGTAGGCCACTATTTGTTGTATATTAGTTTCTCATCCGGAGCTTCTCCTAAAGTTGATGTGGGCGGGTCATAACCATTATTTGCCGGATTTCCCCTCCCCGTAAAATTTATTTTGGAAAAGTGTGCATTAAGCATTTATACAGCTGCAACTTTCTGAAAAAACAGCACAAAATCAGTGAGTGCAACTGAAGGCATGTTTTCATAATTTTGTACCCAGAACGTCTGGTGTTTTTCTCCCCTGCCTTCCGGTAGAATTTTTATAGCTGAGATATTTAATAAGCGTGTGTGTAATGTGGGAAAAACTGGCAGTTTGAAATTTTGCATTTTGACTATAACATTTGGTTTGGGAACGTTTCTAATTGTCTTTCATTCAAATTTCAGTTTGAAGACATCACAAAATTTATAATAAATTATGGTCATAAATGGCAATAATGGCAAACAAGACCATTTTCTTAAAAAGCATGCAGGTGGGGATGAGAAACTAATATACAACAAATAGTGGCCTTATGATACTAGATTATAGACCCCCCCCTGCTTAGGTAAGCTAATTTTAACAAATATGTTTTCATTTATATCTATCAGTTCATAAAGTAGTAACAAGTGATAACAAAGAATTCCAGTATAAAAAACTATGCATATGTACCGGAGCAAGACCGAACCTTATTGCTGAAGAAAACGAACATGTTCTTGGTTTACGGGACTTGCAAAGTGTGGAGTATTTTCAAAATAGACTTTCAACAGCAAGGAGGGTGGTCATTGTCGGCAATGGAGGAATTGCATTGGAACTTGTGTAAGTCCATTCTCGTACCCAGAGCCCTTCTTACGCGCGGTGCGACGAGGGGCTCTGGCCAAATCCATATTCCGAACTGGCATCTGATTGGCTAGTTCTAACACCAGACATTGTTTTCTTACCATGTTTTTATGGTATCCAGTTATGGATTTGGCCAGATCTTCCCATTGCACTGCGCGTAAGAAGGGCTCTGGGTACGAGAATGGTGTAAGTCCTAAATATTTTGTCAAGTGTTAATATACTTTCTAAGGTTAATGACTTAAACCAAGAGATCTTTTTACTAGATATGAACTAACAGGATGTGAAGTAGTTTGGGTGATAAAAGATGATGCCATTGGCAATGCATATTTTGATAAAGGAGCTGCACAATTCTTCCTGCCAGCTTTGGAACTTGATGGAAAATTACATGAAGAAGCAAACTTGAAAAATGAAATTGCAAGCACTCAAAGTTCTCAAGATCTCAATGCAGGTAATGGCATGGGCTGATTTACTGGGGGGTTAGGAGGGGTTAAACCCCCCTAGAATCTCTCTAACCCCTTTTATTTTGTGTGAAAGTCATTAAACTCTAATGCCTGCCGAAGCTCGCTCAGTGGTGCCGCTTGCACCCCACTAGAAATTTTCCCACCCCCCTTTTAAAAAAATGAAAATCTGCCCTTGGGTAATGGTGATTCTCAATATTTTCAGATAAGCTGCTACTTTTAAAAGTCTTCCACATTCATAGTGATCATGCAGTTAACCAGTGAAGCTGCCCAAATGCACCATATGGTGTTATAATTTTACTTTTTTCAAACAGGAGAATCAAGTTATGCAGCTGCACTTGGTAGTAACTGGAAAGAAGGCTTAAAGTTGAGCCAACAAACCTCAGACATAAAACACAAAAAAGTGGTAGTTGAATACAATTCAGAACTGAAAACCATATTCACAAGACAAGAGTATAAAACTTTACATGGAGATTTGTCAGATGACTGGAACATTCAACTTGAATTAAAAAATGGCAAAACTTACGGGTGTGATTTTGTTTTGTCAGCAACTGGAGTAGTGCCCAATACTGAACCTTTTGCAGAACATGCGAAGGTTGCAAGTGATGGAGGTTTGATGGTGGATAAGTGTATGAGGACTAACATCAGTGACGTATATGCTGCTGGTGATGTTTGCAAAGCATCATGGGAGTATTCTGAATACTGGATGCAAATGCGGCTATGGACCCAGGCAAATCAAATGGGTGCCTATGCTGCGAAGTGTATGACATCTGATATGGACAATAGTGAGAATTTCATGGATTTTTGTTTTGAGATGTTTTCCCATGTGACCTCGTTTTTCGGCTACAAAGTGATACTACTCGGCAAGTACAATGGCCAGGGTTTGGGATCAGATTATGAAGTGCTGCTAAGGTGCACAAAGGGTCAGGAGTATGTTAAGGTGGTTCTGCACCATGGTAAAATTCACGGAGCATTGCTGATTGGCGATACAGATTTGGAGGAAACATTGGAAAATTTGATCTTAAATCAAATGGATGTTAGTTCATTTGGAGAACATCTTTTAGACCCAAATATTGATATTGAGGATTATTTTGATTGAAATACTTTAATTTATTAATTAAACTAAATATTCTGTGATCGATCAATTTCCCCCCCAAATATTTATACAATAATGATTTATTGAAAAATAACATATAAAGATTATACAAATTAATTCCCAGTCATTATCTTGCAATGTGAAGTGTGTGTAGAAATTATTTGTAGTCTTTAAAAGCAATTTGGTATAACTCAATTTTATCTCTTCAATAAACTTGAACCTATTAGCTCTCTGTTTCTCCAACCTATCTCAGGAATGATTTGGCACAGTTTTAGAGCCAAACCACATTTTACGGTAAGGCTCTCTAATTATCTATTACTCTTTTGTGTCTTTGTTGATCTTTCGAGCATTATTTGGGTTCATATTTGGAATGCCATCATTTATTGGATACGCAACGTTCAGCTTGTCATTCACCAGCTCATTATTTGCTTCGTCATACCTAAAATTAGAAATGATGTCAGAAAAAAACTGAAAATATATAGGAATTTTTGGTTGCTAAATTCAACCCAAAATTTAGCTGTCAGTAACAACATTTTGTCAGTCAAAAAACCCAGCAAATATTAATAGTAATTTAACTACAATTTATAGATGTTCTTGTAGGTGGGTCTAGCACACATTGTACGAAGTACATGAACAAAACGTATATTTTTGAAATTCGATATTTGGTAAAATTTTGCGCACCTCAGCGGCTCTTTCGAGAGAGGACATACTAAAATATCCAGCACACTTGTATCAAACTTTCCACCAGTTTTAGCCTGGGTGCAGTACGCAAAACGCTGTAAAATGTGGATTTTTGTAGCAGAACTCTTAAAACATGAACAAAATCGAGCGGCCATCTTGCTTAACCGCACAAAATGACAAAAGTCGCAAATTATTCGCGCCAAAAAATTCTAGAATATTTTCAATGATGTTTCCACTGTTTTGAAAAAAAAAAACACGTGTGAAAATTCAAGATGGCAGACTCACCTCACATATCATGTGGCAGAGACTTCTTTTCTGTGCCAGATTTATCTCAAGCGCTGAGCTCTAGCGCGTCAGATAAGTAAGCAAGTTTTTCTATTGTTGTTTGTGTTTACTGTAGTGAGAAATTTGAAAGTTGATTGCTTTTGTGAAAGAGTTGAGAGCACATTTTGTGTGCAGAGGAGTGACCAGTGAATGAATGAAATACTTTATAGCCTTTATAGGTTGTGTGAATGATAAATATAGTACTTTGCTTATTTCAGTTCTGTTAGGAGCTAAGGAATATACTGTGAAACCACGCCATACGACCACCTTGTTAATACAACAGCCCCGATAATACAACCACTTTTCAGAACAACACCTAAGTTTAAATTTTTGTCAAGATCTGAAGACCCTGTTAATACGACCACCTCCATAGCTGAATTCATATTAGAAGACGGATTTCCGTCTAAGACGGGAAACTCGTGTGACTGATTTCCGTCTGGTATAAGTATGAAATGAAAACCATCGGATGGATAAACCCGAAAAAATAGGAGACCCTCCATCCCAGTCTCTTTTAAACGTTACGAGCAGAAACCCATCTTGATTTATTCGTCTGATATAAGACGGATTTCCGTCTAAGACGAGAAACTCGTCTAACTTTCCCGTCGTTCAGACGGGAAAGTTAGACGGAAAAGTTGAGACGGAAAACCTGCTGTTAACTGAATTTATATCAAGACAAGTTTATTGGTTTCCTGTCTTAGACGGAAATCCATCTTCTAATATGAATTCAGCTATTAATACGCCCACCTTTTGATGTCCCCAACTCTTCAATATGATCACTTAAATACAAAATAATGCCCTGTTGGTCATTTATGTAGTGAAGATAAGCATAATTTAACATATCATAGTGAAACAATTGAACAGTAAATTGGATTAAAAGAAAAGTGTAAACTTGACAAGTGTTTTTCAAATATGTTAAAAAACATTTACAGCACAGATGTAAAAAAAACATCCATGCCGTAATTTGATCCGTAATTTGATCCAATAGGCCAGGAAATTATATATGAAGTAACAAATTTTACATTTAGATTTCATTTTATCTGTCTGCCAATTGCCCACCCGAGATTCAAGCGAGAGTATATTAAACCAGTATGTTTGAGAAGTCGACCATTTACCAGGTCGGACTTGCTTCTTCCAAGTCAAGGTAAGGTTACAAATTCCTCATAATGAAATAGCTTTTTACTTTACCAAAAGTAAAATGAAATTAGGTCTGTTAATAGTATGGGATTGGAGAGTTTGAAAATGCACCAGAGAGATCAAATAGGTCATTCATACATAACATGCCATTCACATAACATGCCATAACATGCCATTTGCTTGATATTCCACATGTTTTCTTGCATCTAGCATCTTACAAACCAAACCCTTGTATGTTTTTTCAACTAAACTATTTGTTTCATTATTTACCAAAGACTGGAATACATTAGTTGTTGGCAAGGTGTCACCATGGATCAATACAGACTCCAACGATGATGTAGAAAGAAAAAATTCTGAGCAAGTATGTTGCTTGAAATGATGTAAACAGATTTTTATGTGTGAAGCATTATAATTCTTTTATAGCCAAGCTATGTACTTGTCTTAATTTTTTTATGTAATATGGTCCTAAAATATTGTGTGATCAGATACAGTCCAAATTTGAAATTTTATACATTTTCAATAAGTACATCCAGTTAGATACTAGCAAGTTGAAATTTGGGATCTATTAGATCTGTGCAGTTCCAGAATTTTTATCCCAGTTCCGATTTTGTTCTTTTGAGGGTTGAATGACCTTGGTTTGGTATCGGTTTTGGTATTTTTGGAATAAGAACAATTCCAAGCATTTGCTCAATAAATTTTAAAATATGACATGTCTTTGTTTGCTCTCAGAATGAAAATAAAAAAATCTTTCTTTGGCACACATTTTGATGAGCAATCTAGTATCTATCCACAAAATCTAGTATCCCATCCTAGAAATGACAAGGGCACAAAGTTTGACAAATTAAGAAACAAACAGTGGAAATATCACAGACTGCACTTCCTAGCCACCACCATGTGCCCAGTTTATAGACTTGCTGTTGTTTCATGGCTGACCCACTGGGCAGGGATTGATCCAGCATGATCTGATAGGGGGTGCTCTGCCGGCTCTGGTGCCGAGTTGTGTCGGTCATGTGTGCTGCCCGTCCATCAACTTGCTTCACTACTGCAAAGTCTTGCTTGACGACTGTATTTGAATTGTAATTGTTGTTCACAGTTTGCTTATCATCACATTATTACTCAAATTACTATATCTCATTTTGTCTCTAATATTTTTTTGCTTTATCATGAAAAATAGCACCCCTCCCCTGCACCCCCTCTGGCCAGGCTAGGTGGTGTACACCCCCCTCCCCCCCAGTAAATCCATCCCTGCCACTGGGTGAAGACATGTACACAGTTGTACCTATTTTTTCCTTTTTATCCAGGCTTTATTGCAGGAGATTGCTTATGCAGTTCATCTTGGCTTGCCAGCAATCATGGTTAACCTTACCAAGCAACCATGTACCAATCTTGCTGCACTTATTAATGGAATTTGCTTTGACTCACATGTTCAACAGGTTAAAAGCTTTTCTTGATTTTGAAATTGTTATAGAGACCGTTGCAATGTAATGGGGAGTGTAAGGCCATGCTTATTTATTTGTTGGATTGTGGATGTCTCGACCTGTGTGCATACTGTATAAATGCTGCCCATTAGACCTTTTCATCCAGACTTCTGCAATATCTTTTAATTTACTTAGTTTTGGATTCGAGTTCCAATGCAATCCCCAGCAAATGAAATAGATAACTCATTATTCGAAGACGGCAATAAACAACAAGTAAGGAAAATGTTTTGTAAAGCCTTCACTCTGCTGATTTTCAAACAAAACATGATAATATATTGGAAAATACATTGCAAAATATTGCCCCATAGTATGTTGTGATTCGTTATGATTTTAATTTTGTTTGTAGACGAATTGTGAAGTAAATAATGATACTTGGGAATGGTATGTTGGAATTAAAATTAAATGTTATTTCTCATGAGAAAAAATGCGAAAGTTTGAATGCTTTTGGAGCTTAAGCAGGGTTCGTAGAGCGGTCTTTGAAATACTTGAAAGTCTTTAAATTTGAATTCAGGTTTTAAGGTTTTTGAAAAGTCTTTGAAAAGTCTTTGAATTGTGTGAAAAAGCGAAGAAAGTCTTTAAAAATCTTGAAATTCTTTAGTGCGGAGTATTTGATTATACGATTTCCTAGCTAATAAAATAGATTGATTGAAGCAATTTTTCGCAAATATCGACGAAAAGGTGCATTTTAGGATGTGATTTGACGGGACTAATTACCAGGTAAAAATGGTGCTTACAGTCGCAATTTTTCGACAGCTGATTGCTCTCAAAGGTCTTTGAAAAGTCTTTGAAAATAGGCGGAAAAAATCTTTGAAAGTCTTTGAATATTTTTGGTCTTGGAGACTACGAACCCTGTTAAACTATTGAGGGTTTGGTCAACACGGATGCAGTGGTGCCTAAATTACTTTGAATTTGTACTCGAGTAAAAGTAGAAGTAATTAACAATAAAACAACTTGAGTAAGAGTAAAAAATACTGGAAGCAAAACGTACTTATTTAATAAGTAAAAAGTACAAAGTAAAAGTACTATTGTCTGTACCGTGTAAGGGGGGGAGGGGGGACTTCTCCAATGGATTAACATACAAAAGACACAAAACAGCACACACATTATATGCGTGCACCGAATATACAATATTTCACAGCATGGTCTACTTTCCAGACCCCGTTGAAGAGAGAAGAAATCCAATAATGCTTATATAAGTAAGCCAAAAAAACAAGAGAACCCAGATGCGTGTAGAGGTCCTATTACCTATCCCAAAATTAAAATAAATCAGAAATAATTACGTAAAATTAAACAAAAGTTAGAAAGTGACGAAATACTTCGCCACAAAATGAAAATAACGAAGTAAAACGTTACTTCTTAAAACGACTTCGTTCCAAGTGAAAGTATACTCCAGAAAAAGTTTACTTTGTTACATGCTGACTTCTCAAAAATAGTACTCAAGTACAGTAACGAAGTACATTTACTTCGTTACTCAACACTACTGCACGGATGTCAGATTGCCGAGGGACTGACTGGATTACAGACTTTGTTTGTGTCAGTTTGTGGTAATCTTAAACACATACAGTAAAACATAAGATTTTTAAAGTTTTTTTGCTTCCTTACACGAGTGCTATGATGCAAAATGCGGCCAAAATTAACTATACCAATTTTCGGCTGACGTCTGTGTTGACATAAACGTTGCTTGTTTAAAATTAAATTAAGCTCACTAATGTCTTCTTGTACATTTAGGTGGAACTCATTTAGAACATTATGTCATAACACGAGAAAAGTTGGTCTAGGTAAGAATATCTTGCTCACAAGCAGAATAGAATTCACATTTATATATGTGTACTAAACTAACCAGCCTAATGCTTGTTGAAAAAACCCAACAGCTTTAGAAATTGGCAAGGAGTTACCAACACCACGGGAAGTGAAGAGGTGGCTTGGTGAACCAATAAGAACACTGATTATACCGACGAAAATATTCCTTTCAAACAAGAAAGGTAAGAAAATGTCAGAACAGTTGGGTATCATCAAGTACTGTGGTATCATGCAAGAAAGTGGGGAAGTTTCAATGATAGCTCAAAGTGAAAATTTGAATTTTTTGGTTACTTGGAGTCTACACTTCGTAAGAAAGTTTTTCTGTAAAATTGAAACAGTGATAGCCATTCATCTCTGTGTCAAATACCCTTTTAATTCAATGTTTTGAAAGAAACTTTGTAGTAATTGTATATAATGAAGGGCAAAGGTGGATGAGTTGCATGTACAGTCATAATTCATTAATACACTGATTATTCCTATAAATTGTTCATACCTGCCTGTCTCGTAAAGCTTACAGAAATCCATTGCCAAAACAATTGTCCAAAATTTTAAAAATGTGTTTGAAATGTTTCATATCTATAGGATACCCTGTTTTATCACGACCACACCAACAATTTATAATACAGCTGTTTAAGGTAGGTCAATGTCCATTTTGAAAATTTTTGAAAATTGGAAACGCTAATTGTCCTAATTGACATAATGTGTTATAAAAACAGCGTGATATATATGTCTTTTGTTTTAGTTTAATGTTCAATTCGTTATTTCTGGATCAAACAAAATGCTTGACAAAGGAATGGCTACATATTATCAGTATCTTGATCACCTCTATATAGTACGTATGTCAAGTTAATATTCGTTCAGGTTTCTGTTGCAGATCTGCGAATAAATTGTAACAACGTTGTTGTCAAGCCGATATCAGGATGCGTTTGCTTACGTTCCCAATTGTTTTGACAAGTCTGGAACAAGCTGTCATCACCTTGTTACAAGGTTGATGAATGATGACGTAACCGACGTGATACAAATTGTTCCAACAAGACTAATACAGGCTGTTCGTAACAAGTTGCTACGAACTTGTTGTCATCAACTTGTAACGCGCAGACGATATCAGACTTGTTGGAACAACTTGTTGCGATTCCGTTGGCCTCAACAACTGGGAACAAGCAGTGCGAACATATCTTGTTGACAAGCTGTGAAATCTTTACACGTGTATGCGGTTACTTGCGTGACGTTTAAGTTTGTATCAGTGAACTCCATGTCTTTTATAAAGAGGCGAAGTTAAAATAATTCTTTTTCTTCAGACAAAACCACCTCTGGATTGCTATGGTCAATTCTCAAAAGGCTATGAAGATTATTTACAATGCCCTTTACAGGTGCAATACAATACATGTCAATGAATTACACTAAAGAGAACCTATTCGAAGATATCTTCCAAATCCATCACTCGTGTTAAACCCGTGTTAATTTAACTCCTTCGTGGAGTTAAATTAGGGAGCGGTCATTATTTATGGCAGGGGGTGGCCCCGAAGAGAAAAGGGTTTGGTAAACAAAATTTTGAGTGAGTAAAACGTTGGGTAAATGAAAAAGAAAACAACTCTAGAGTTGGGTAATAAAAATTTATTGTAATTTCCAAAGCATGACTCACTGAAATATTGGAGACTAAAAAGCAATGTCAACAGTCATATGTCAATACAATACGTGAATTAATCAGAGTCATTATCTTGACCATTTTCCGATTTGTTGGGGGACAAATGTTGTCTCCAAAGAAAGTACATGGGCAGACAACATGAAACTTTAGACTGTGGAAAATTTCACAGAAGTGGTAAAGGACATGTGTCACAACTGAATGGTATCCTTTTGTAAAGTTTTGTAAAGCCAGGGGTGGGTATTTATTTTTTAATTGATATTTGAGGTTGGGTAATCAAATTTTTGACTTTTTAATGGTTGGGTCAGCAAAAATTTTGCCACGAAAAACATTTCTCTTCGGTGCCACCCCCAGACATCAATAATGACCGGCCCCTTAGGGCTTATCTGGCGCAGTCTCAGAGCAAGTGCCTTTCCTATGCAAGATCATGAGTTCGATTCTCTCTGCGGACTCATGACACTTTGAGAAAAGAGTCAGTGAACGCTCTACGGAAAATCGTGGTTTTTCTCAGGTACTCGGGTTTCTTTCCACAGGGCATGTTTACATGATGGGTTGGCCCTAATTGGATAAGCCCCTAACTAACCCTTGCACCGTAGCTGTACTCCGTGATCAGACATGAATCATAAGGTGACTGCAAGAGGCGCCTTCAGGAAGCCTTCGACTCTACCAGGTTGAGCTGCGTCCTTATCCAGCTTAGGTCTCAGTACGGATGGTTAGCACACCGCCACTTACTATGTATCACTCTTACTTTTAGCCACTCATGGACAATCTTGAATCACAAACTTACGAAGTGTTTGAAAAAGACCCAGTCAAATACAACCAATATCAAGAGGTATTTACAGTAAATATCAACAATATCAGCTTCCTTCTCGTGTAATTCATTGTGCTATTGATGGTATTGTTTCAGGCTGTTCGTCGAGCATTAGTAGACAGAGTACCGGAGGACAAAAAAGATTCCGTAACAACGTAAGTTCGTTTGAATCATGAGCGGATTTACTGGGGGGTTTAGGGCGGTTAACCCTCCCCGCCCCCCCCCCTAGAATCTCTCTAATCACTCTTATAAAGTGTTCAACCCCACCGAAGTTTACCCCTCCTATTTTGTGTGAAAGTCTTTAACCCTAACGCCTAACACCTACCGAAACTCGCTCAGTGGTACCGCTTGCACCCCACTAGAAATTTTTCCACCCCCTCCTTTAAAAAAAAATGAAAATCCGCCTTTGGTTTGAATGATGGGTAAATATTATTATATACCAAGTGTCAAGGTTCATGTTTTCTTGCATCTCATTGAATGAGAACCAACTATATGTATACATTTTTTGTTAATTACGTCATGAATATTTCTTTAACCTGGGAGCCTCGCTCTCATGAATCAAGACAAAAGGTGATTGGCTTATGATTCATGGGAATGAGGCTGCCGTGCCAAGGAGATATTTATGACGTAATTATAATTTCTTTCGCTTCAGTATTTTAATGGTGGTTGGCGCGGGTCGTGGTCCATTAGTGAGAGCGTCGTTCGCTGCGAGTCAAGCCTGTGGTCGCGGTATTAAAGTCTACGCTATTGAGAAGAATCCGAACGCGATTGTAACGTATGTTTGTGTGTTTATTTTAATCGAAAATCGAGAAACAAACGAGCGAAAGAACGAGTGTGGGAGAAACTAGCATGGGTACGAGGTTGGCCCAGGGCCAGATCTACCGTGGGGGTGCAGGGGGGGGGGTGCGCACCCACCTAGAGAAGTCCAGCACCACCCTAAAAACTGCTCTCATACATGTTTTGCCTTTACGAATAGCGGTTAGCGCGTGTCGATTTCTTGAAACGATTTAATTGATGTGTGAGCTCACGAGAAAATACTCAGAATTAAATATATGGTTAAATATACAAACATGTCGAGGTTGTTATACAGACATATTTTCAAATGTACTGTACTTTAACAAGCACATTTACTGTACTCTGCTACAGCAACTGTCCAGTTAACAAAACAACGTTTTCTGTGTTTTTAGATTACTAACATTGAAACAGGAGGAATGGGGTGATAAAGTCACAGTCGTATCATCTGATATGAGAGATTGGACGGCTCCTGAAAAAGTAAAAACTTGATTAGTCTGTGGTTGCACAAAAATACCAGGGGTAATACCTTATTCCTTGTTTTGACAGGCGGACATCCTTGTCAGTGAGTTGCTGGGATCGTTCGGAGACAATGAACTTTCACCAGAATGCTTGGATGGCGCTCAACGATATTTAAAAGGTATTTTAAAAATGACTGCATGTCGACAATGCTGTTGAAATAATATAATTTGAAAACGTTTTAAGAAAACATTTCGCCCATACATTTTGACGAATTTTTATCGTATAAATACCTTCTTCTATATTCTGTAGATGATGGTATTTCAATCCCAGAATCCTATACATCATACTTGGCTCCTCTATCGTCAGCAAAACTTCACTATGAAGTATCGCAGTGCAGAGAACCTAACAAAGGACCACAGGTGTGCATGCATGTATATAGAAAATGCAATAGACCTTATGCATAATGACGTCACAAGGCTTGATGCCCGCGAGGAATGCTGGTCTTAGTAGTCTTCTAAATGGCCACTATCGGAAATTTTCCCGGTCAATGACTACTAAGACCAGTACTCCTCGCGGGCATTAAAAGTTGTGACGTCATTGTGCATAAGGTCTATTCACAGGCACACAGAAAACTTACAACTATACATATATTTATTTCAGGCACCGTTTGAGACACCATACGTTGTTAGATTATGCAATGTTGACATCGTAGCCGAACCAAAACCTTGTTTTCATTTTTCACATCCTAATAAAGGTAAGACCTGGGATGGATTTACTGGGGGGTGGGCACCCCCCCCCCCTAGCCCTAGCCAGAGGGGGTGCAGGGGGGGTGCTATTTTTCATGTTAAAGCAAAAAATTATTAGAGACAAAATGAGATACAGTAATTTGAGTAATAACAAGATGATAAGCGAACTGTGAACAACAATTACAATTCAAACACTGTAGTCAAGCAAGACTTTGCAGCAGTGAAGTAAGTTGATGTGCGGACGGCACACATGACCGACACAACTCGGCACCAAACTGGGTAAGACGTAGGTTGGGTATTTATTTTTGGGTGGCCCTAGTTCAATTAGGCCCGCCCCAATATAGAGCCTGCTCATAGGCTATGACCTAGGAACGAAGGAGCCACTTGCCTTTTGCCTTCAGCCAGGGCGCTATAAAACACGGGCGGTGAAACGCGCTAATAAATGGCCGTGCTACGTGTGATGCACATTAGGATTGGCGCGAGCGCGCTTTCTCTAAAAAAAATCAGAAAATCGCGTACAAGATGGCAACAAAAAAATGTAAACAAGCAAACGAGAAAACAAAGGATTTAAATGCTAAGTAATTATGTTTCGTTAATTAAAATTTGAAATATTATTTAATAAGTTATATCACATGTAATAGCTTGTGTTGTTTGTTACTGAACACTCGTTGAAAGAAAATATCAGGGCAAAAATTTTACTCGAGCGATGAAAATATTTGCAAAATTTAAAGCGCAGACGTATTTAATTAAAATAATGGTTTCTCCTTGTTGAGATAGGTTGAGATAAATGTGAACACACCAAACTATAGACATTTAACTTGGCTTTATCTCTCAAGTAAAATTGAACGGGGCTTTTTTGTGCTTTTTTCATAAAACGGAGATATCTTGCAGCCTTTTATATATAGTTTTCCGTATACTCCGCACAACAATAGATTCGCGACTACTACACTTACTTATGCAGATAATACGATATTTAAACAGCACAAATTTTCAATTATCATTTGAACGAAATCACTTCCTGCCTCAAATACATACTATAAAAGTTTAGTGAAGTATCTAGTATCAGCTTATATAGTTAAAATTACTATCTATTTCACATGCAAAATGAACGAAGCGATTGTTGAGGAAAAGACATGCATTTTGAACTCGATTTTGACGACATTTTTTCTTTTTTGACAAAGCGCGGACGTATTTAAAATAGTGTTTTCTCCTCGTTGAGATAGGTTGAGATAAATTTGAACACACCAAACTATAGACATTTAACTTGGCTTTATGTCTCAAGTAAAATTGAACGGTGCTTTTTTGTGCTTTTTTCATAAAACGGAGATATCTTGCAGCCTTTATAGTTTTCCGTAACACTGTCACTGCAATGTCAACGACTGCAGTCACACGAAAAAAATTCACGCTGAATATTTTTGGAGTGTCGGCGGCAGTTATACCAATAATAGAAATCAAATCAGTTAGTTAAAAACATTTTACAATGAACTTTCAATGGATTCTGAGCAGGCCGGCTGGTCAACACAAAAACGGTTATATATTTAAGTTTTCAAATTGTCGAGCAAATTGTTCAGTAGTTGTTTTTTTTCAAATTGTAGTTGTTTTAAATGCATGCATGGTCAATTTTGGGCTATATGATTATTGAAAAATAGTAGCCAAGCAATGTCAGAATATTCTTATACTGTGAAAATGTTTATCCTACCTTCGTATTATGAAGTAAAATATCCCATTTCATACCAAAATTTTCGTATTTGGAATATGCCCACATTCGATCAGCTCGATCCTTTTCAAATTTTTATTTCGCTCATGATGAATCTTTAAAGCCCTTTTTTCCTTCATCAGATATACAGAAAATGAATCCAACAATGTCTTCAAATCATCAAGTTGTTTAGGAATGCAGAAAACATTTTTTACTTTAGTTTTTTCAGCTCTTTTTTGCATAAACATTCCAATTCCATTTTTATTGACATTATATTAAAATTAATGTATACGGGGGGTACGCGCATCACACAAAGATCAGGGGCGCTATCTCCGTTTCACCGCCCTTGTTTTATAGCGCCCTGCTTCAGCGTATGATTATCAGCTTCAATGTTTATCACTTTTCCGAAAGAATGTTAAACGCCAAAGTGATAAATTTCATGTGTCCAACGCAAAATGTAGGCGTATTGGAAAGATCCTTTCGCAGGATAAATCTCGCATTGCCTGCGACCTTTTCTGAAGCAAACATGGATCTACTGAAATAGAAGACTTGGTGATTAGCTGGCATAAACGCAGTCTACCCCCCCCCCCCACCGTAACACTAATTTAAGATAGCACAGCGGTACAAAATCCGCTCAATCTTTGTAATTTTTACTTTCTAGACGTGCCCATTGACAACAGCCGCTCCACTGCAATCGATTTTGATATTCAAAATACATGTCTAATTCATGGCTTTGCTGGTTTCTTCCGAACTGTTTTGTATAAAGAATTGTGTTTAAGTAAGTTACGCGTACAGTAACAATACATGCTACATGGTTAAATAATTCATTGTAGGAATACAACAGAATTGTGAGTTATGTACAAGGTTAATTAGATGATAAAAAATGGAAACTATCAACGCAGCTAAGAATTTGCTGGTTGGAAACGTTCGTTTCCTTCATTGGTCGTTACTTGCATGTAATACTGTAGTAAAGGCTGGTATTCACTATCAAAGTTTCTGTGATCACAGTAGGAATTTTTGCACGGGTAAATTGAAAGTTTTGGAGGATTTGTAAGAACTGTTTGATGGAGCTGACTCAGTGTTTGTTTGAGGAAATTGACTCGGTGTTTAAAGGCCTGATTCAACGGGCGCTTTTTCTCGGCGAAATGCGAAATATTTCGCCTGTTTCTTTTGAATTGCGACCACTCGAATAAATTATTTCTACTTGATTGCCAACAATTCAAAAGAAACAGGCGAAATATTTCGCATTTCGCCGAGAAAAAGCGCCCGTGGAATCAGGCCTTAATACTGAGTCAGTTCCCTCAAACAATTCTTACCAATCCTTCAAAACTTAGAATTTACCTATGCAAAATTTCTACTGTGATTACAGAAACTCTGATAGTGTAAGCCACCAGCCTTAAGACGTAAAATGCGAAAGACCTGAAATGTGATCTGTGTTTGTTTGAAGGTATTGTTCCCGCTGATCATTCAGACGGCATGTTTAGCTGGTTTCCTATATTCTTCCCAGTTCAGGTAAGCGACATACTGTACACGGCAAAAAACGCCGAGACCGTTGCTCAACAGGACTGAACAATGTTTTGCTGCCCACGTTGTTCACACTTGTCAACAATATTGAACAATGTTGTTGAGCCTGAATCGGGTGTAACAATATTGTTCAATGTTGTTGACAGCTATGAACAATGTGGGCAGCAAAACATTGTTCAATCCTGTTTTCATCAGTATTACATCAACCCGAGCATTTTTTGCCGTGTAGACGACTTTGAGTTTATGCGAGTCTATATGGGGCAATCGTCAGAGAAAGCGCCTTTCACCTCCGAGATCGCGGGTTCGACTCTCACTACAGGCTCATGACACTCGTGTGAAAAGAGTCAACGCTCCACCGAAAGTCGTAGGTTTTCTCCGGGCGCTCCGGTTTCCTCCCACAGGGAATGTTGACAGGGTGGGTTGGGATTAGCCCACTATCTGACCCTTCCATCGTAGCGGTGTTTCGTGATCAGACATGAGTCACAAGGTGGCTGCCAGAGACGCCCTTAGAAAAATCATTCAACTCATGCAGGTTGACCGTGCGTCCTTCGCAATTCAGCTTAGCTCTCAGCTGCAAGCTAGGAAGGATGATTAGCACACCCGCACTTACCTATAAATATAAACCTGCTTGCTTTGCTTAAACCATGGATAATAAAATACATGGATAGGAAACTAGCTGACGTGACCTAATGTTTTCAATGGGATGATGGCGTTGAAACCTAGTTGCAAACCAAATTCTCAAAAACGGCATGTTTAGCGATAATACAGCTAAACGTTTTAGTCAAAGAGCAAATAAATATAACTAGGCAATTCTACGATGAAATCTCTAAGTATTCCCGGTCAATTTTAGCAAATATTTCAAGCACTAAACAGTGAAAAATGCATCGCAAATTTCGTAAAAATTGGCGACGCCAATTTCGTAGCTACAAATGTAAAAAAATACAAAACAAAGACGAAAAACATTTACCTTGAATACTTTGTCGTGGCTTGGGCATGTTTTTAAAACAATTAAACCAGTTTATGCTTCAATATTACTCTTTTAAAGCGGAAAATATAGCAAAACAACAAAAATGCTGAGAACTTTGGCAATACACGTGACGTCACAGATTGCAACTAGGTTTAGACTGTGACGTCAGGAAGTTTCCTATCCAGTTATTTTACAATCCATGCTTAAACGAATTAGTATTTAAAACGAAATCATTACTATGATATTAAGACTATGCATTTGGCTGATGAATCATTAATGATTTAATGGAAGAAAATTCTTAGAAAAAAATTTTTCTCTTTGATTTAATCATTCAAAGTATTCTGCATATTTTTATTCCAGCATCCTATATACCTGACAGAAAGCTCTACGCTTCGCGTTCACTGTTGGCGTAAGGTATCCCGAACGAAGATCTGGTACGAATGGTGCATCTCTAAACCACACCCAATCCCCATACACAATCCCTCCGGACGATCTACTTTTATAGGACTGTAACAGAGAACACCCTCTCCCTCATGGACAGAGAGCTCATTGGAAGAACAAGACCGCCAAGTTGTAGAATCGTGGAAAAAAGTGACACGTACTCGAAACCGCACAACTATAAAAATGCTCTGGAAGCGAAGTTTACTGGAAGTGTTCCTATTCAAAGTATCCTTCATTCTTCTCTTGCGTTAGAAAAATACAGTGCAACGTTGCACTTCTGTTATTTTTTAAGCACGTGTACAGTGGCAGATAGACTGTAATTTATTGACTCTCAATTTCATTTTCCCATGACAGTTGGAAAGTCTTTTATTCGAATGTTAGTTGTCAGCAACAATTCTAGCCAACTGTCCGATGTCGGTATGAGCAAATGTTTGTATCGCTAATCTTAACCCATAGTTTTATTGTTATTATTAATATAACTCTCCATTTACATGTAAAACAACTGCTATCAATAACAAAATATAAAACCCAAACTATATATCTATCTACCAATAAAATAATAAAGATTGGATCCCATTCCACTAAGCGATAGATCGCAATTTTGAAAGTTTCCGTTATCTTTCCTAAACAGTGCTTGGCCAGTTACACTTCGCTGCCTCATCAGATTAAAAGTACACACGCAAAAATCTCACATCTTGTAACAAGTTTGTCAACAAGCCGTCAACAAGTTGTCTTCGCACTGCTTGTCACAAGTTGTCAACAAGTTTGGAACAAGCTGTTAACAATTTGTAACAACCTTGTTGATATTATCAGGCTTGTGACAAAGTTGTTCCAACAAGTCCGATACAGTCATGATATAGCAGTATTGTTACAACCTTGTGTCGTCAACCTTGTAACATTCTTGTTTATCATGACTGTATCAGACTTGTTAGAACAACCTTGTGACAAGTCTGATAATGCCATCAAGCTTGTTACAAGTTGTTAACAACTTGTTCCAAACTTGTTAAAACAACTGGGAACAATCAGTGCGAAGACAACTTGTCGACAGCTTGTGAACAGAGTTGTAACAACTTGTTAGCAGAATTGTTACAACTTGTGCGTTTTTACGCGTGTAGTCAAATATTTATACTGCGACAATATTACTGTGACTGTTCATGCTTAGTTGCAAATGACGGTAATCTCAATCTATATTATTTGCGATCAGTTTTCGACAAAAAGATTTCTCCAGAACTTGCTGCGCTGACACTCGCCATATTTGAAAGACTGGGAACAAGAATACAAAAAATTAAAACAATCCAAGCAAGCCACGTCTTTACAAATTTTATCAAGACAAAATAGAATATTCCATCATTATTTATGCAAATTGAACAAATTCTATACCTAGAGGACAGTTTTAGAAGGCTACAGCAAAAATGCCGGCAGAAAACGACCTAGGAGATTGGTTCAGAAGTATTCCTGTAGTTACAAGATGGTGGTTTTCGCTGTCGATTGTGTTCACTTTGCTGGGACGTTTTGGCGTCTTAAATATCATGTATATGTTTTTAAATTTTGACTTAGTTGTCTATAAATTCCAGGTTAGTTTGTACTTGTAGTTGTTTGAAAATGGGGTTGGTATAAACGTTTGAGGGAAGTTTGACTTCTTGGTTTTGCCCGTTGCAAATTTGCTGTCAGACTGTCAGTGGGCCTATGAGAGGCATTTGCCCCATCATTTGCCCCCTGAAAGTTTCAAAATGGCCGATGTTCAGGGGGGTGAATGCCTGTCATAACCAGTGCACTCTGTAATTATGTAAACTGAACAATAACTTGGGGAGGGGGGGGGGGTTGAAGCCAGCTATTTGGTGTAGAAATTTCAAGACTTTAGCTGAAAGGGAAATATTCAAAAACTACAAAAATAATTGACAATAATTTGCCATTTTTTGTTGAATGGCAGTTGTTTTTGTATTTTCTAAATATTTTTCTTTTCGCTGAAGTCTTGAAATTTCCACACCAAATAGCAATTTTCAATAGCTTCAGTTTGATATATAGCCCAATGTTGGAGGTCAGCTCAAAACTCAGAAGAACTATTTTGGCTTCAGCAAATTATAGGTGTTATTGTTCCAGTTTACATAGAGTTGACTGGTCATAACTGCACTGGCTAGGAAAATGGCGACAGCATTTTGATGATTAATCATTGTGGTAGTGGTTACCTTTTGAGTTGACATTCTGTTGATCTCCATTCTGTGCTTGTATGCAGAGTTGGTTAGAGCTGTGCCAAAATTATATGTTTTAGCTTTTGTTCCCCTAAGATCTCATTGATAATTGCCCAACTCTCTGTCAATATTAGGGACAGAATGAGATGATCTGTCTAGACAAACTTGGGTAAAGAAAAGTTGGTTCGTCTCATAATTTGTCTGTCTAACTAAAGACATTTAATACTTCCATATGACTAACAAGTTGTTTTATTGTAGATTTGGAGATTGTTTACAAGTATTGTGTTCTATCCACTCACACCTCAAACTGGATTTCATTATTTGATCAACTTATATTTCCTCTATAGTTATTCCAAACGATTAGAGTCAGGTACTGTATATACAGGCAAAGTTAATATACACAATTTACCTTCCCTTTAATTTAATGGTAATGCTCCCTGATGCACCCTATAGTTTGTTATTTTACACTGTTTAATGCGAGACAATTTTACTTGAGGAGAGTGCTGCCACTCAATGGGTTAATTCATGAACACTCATACAAACAGTCAGTTCAGAAGCCATCTACTGTACCACACCTAACTTGACAATAATATTTTCTCATAGGTTTATTTGATGGTAGACCTGCAGATCATTTATTTATGCTGTTGTTTAACTCTATAATTTTGATTGTATCCTTGTTCTTATTGTTTTTGTAATTTTATGGTTGTCACTGTTGTGTTGTTGGCGCTATCCTGTTTATTGTTGTTGCTGCTGTTGTTGTTATTCATATTGTTGTTTTTATTGTTGCTATTGATGTTGTTACAATCGTTATTGTTGTTGTTGTTGTTGCTGTTGTTGTTATTGTTGTTGTTGTTGTTGTTAGTATTATTATTGTTTTGTTGTTGTTGCTGTAATTGTTGTTTTTGTTGTTATTGTTGTTGTCGTTTTAATATATCCTATTATTGTTTTGTTGTGACTGGTGCTGTTATTGTTGCTGTAATTGTTGTTGATGTTGCTCAAGATTGTTGTTGTTTGTTATTATTTCAAAGGACATTTTTATAAATGCCTCTTCCTTGACTAATTTCTTTAACAGATAATTGGTTTTCTGATCAACCTATTTGTAAGTATATTTGAATAAAAATTATGCATTGATAATCCAAAACATTAAATCATGGTGTTATCCACTTATGTTGTCCAGTATGTATACAACTATTGGGGGGGGTTAAAAATGTTGTGTTTTTTTTGTATGCCTGTTGTTTAGCTCTTTAAGTAACAAAGATATGCAAATATGTGCAAGTGAATCAGATTTAATTTTGTCATTTTATTTTGTTCAAGTTCCTTATGGATCCTCTTGTTCTAAGTGTTTTGTATGTTTGGTGTCAGATCAACAAAGATACGATAGTGACATTTTGGTTTGGTATGCAATTTAAGGCAAGTATAATTAACTATGACATTACAAATCACTGTAATGGCATTCCAAATCTTGCTAGTGTAGTTAATTTAAGTGAACATCTCAACAAATAAATCAAAATTATGCTGACCGTGTATTTCGTGATTTTTGTACATGTAGGCAATGTACTTACCATGGGTTCTGGCAATTTTTAATATGGTCGTTGGTGGAGGGTAAGTACTTAGCAAGGCAATTTATATAATGAACAATTTGTTATGCCAAGTACTATTTACAACATAAATTAATTACAATCTAGTTGTACATATCAGATATGTAGTTGAAATATGTCATAAGACACTCCGGACTAACAAACATTAAAGTTTCACATGTATTGAGCATACTAGACAAGATTTTTATCTGTTACTCTTATTCTGTTGAGCATGAACATCCTTAGATGCAAACAATGCTATTTATATATAAAACTCACTTTGTGTTTAGCGGTCTGAAGGAAATTATTGGTATATTCATTGGCCATCTTTACTTCTTTCTCATGTTTAAATATCCACAAGATTTTGGTGGAACAAGATTTATCAGCACTCCTGCTCTCCTGTATGTACAAAGTTTGTATGAGCATTTACAAATAGTACTTAAAGTAATCTTTAACGTAAGCTTTTTTGTATCTCTACAGGGTATGTGCATGAATTTATGTGTAAAGTACTAAAGTAGATAGCTAATAAGCCACATTTGACCTAAAAACAACTGGGTAGCTCCACCAGTGTTACACATTTCTCCCCAGAACCGCCAGTAAGGATCACGTTTCTCGCTATTTGGTCTAGTTTTACTGTAGAATGAAACCTTAAATTAAACTCGGTTTCTTCAGATAGCTCTATCTTCTCTACACGCATAAAAATCTTACAGCTTGTCCCCAAGTTGTGTTCCCACTGCTTGTTCCCATTTGCTGACAAGTCTGGAACAAGTTGTTATCATCTTGTAACAAGGTTGATGAGGCCAACAGACTCACAACAAGTTGTTCCAACAAGGCTGATATTATCTGCACGTAACAAGTTGTTGACAAAACCCGTAAGAAAATGATAGATCTATTTTAGATCTTGAAAAGGTCTTGAGTAGATCTAGAAAATTGTCTTTAGTAGGTCTTGAATAGATCTATAAACTCCCTCAGGTAAAAGTCTTGCAATGGTCTGTATTTTGAGCTAAAATTGACAGCTCTGAAGACCTTTTCTAGACATTTTGAAAGGATCGTGAAATGTCTTGAAACGTCTTCAAAAGGTCTAGAAATAGTCTAAAAATGTGTGGAATGTCTAGAAAAGTCTTGGTATGTTCAAAAAGGTCTAGAAAGATCTAGAAAAGGTCTAGTAATGCTTGAAATGTCTTTGAATTGTCTAGATCTGTAAAACAGGGCGATCACACGCACGCGCAACAGCGATTTTATCCTAGCGTCAGTAGCTTGCAGAACAAATGAGATAGTTTTTTTTTCAAATGTTTAATCAAAGTATTAAAAGGATGATAAAAATCGAAAGTTAGTAATCATTATGACAATAATATAAAATAAAACACATAATATATATACATACAATTTAATATTTTGCTCTAGCTGCTATAATTTTAGCATTATAATTTTAAACCTATGCTGATTAAAGTAAAAACTTATTTTCAATGATTGTCTGCATTGTCTACTGGCAACGAAAATGTCTGACCTTCCCCGTAGATTAACCTCTGTGTGGATTCTTTTTACTGCGTCTATATACGCACTGCGTCTACGCCATTGTTAGCCTTTTCTTCATTTTTGTTTGCGCAGTTGTGCACTTGTTCGTGAACATCTTGTTCAACTTTACACGGTCAAGTGGCGTGAACTTTCGCAGCGGAGAGCAAGTAGGTGGCTGTTGGCGAGGGGCATTTCACTCCAAAAAAGCGTACGGGATTTTCGGATTTTTAAAAATCCGCGGATTTTTTAGCGGATTTTTCCCGGATTTTTAGCGGATTTTTGAAGAGAAAATTTGCTGGATTTTCCGGATTTGTTCGGATTTTCCGGATTTTTTCTGGATTTTTGAAAATCTGTTGGATTTTCCGGATTTGTTTGGATTTTGCGGATTTGTTCGGATTTTTTCTGGACTTTTTTTAATTATAGAGTTATAGAGCTAGGTAACGTTTTGAACAAATAATCTTAAGTTGTACGATGTCAACGTTATGCCAGGACGTCAGGGTCGAGCAGAGGACTGGGACTAGGACCACAGCTTTCTGAAACTAACGAAGGCTGGGCATGCAGTCATTTTGTTTAAAATTCAAACGAGTTCATTATTCTTTCAAAAACAGTAAAAGACAATGGTGAATAACTTTTGGTTTTGTAATTATATTTTACAACATAACGTCATTGTAACAAGAACACATATTTAGTAGTAATAGGCTAAAAAAAGCCTATAATAAATAAGCCTATCGAGCGTATAAATGGAAATGTAGAGTGGTCCAATAATTACGAAATATAATGACAGCGATCACGGTAAGCGTTTAGCTTTCGCTGCCCGCCATTTTGAACGTGGCAAAGAACCTTTACGAGTAAATTACACCAAGTACTTCATATTTTTTTTTGTGGATTTGCGGATTTTTTAAGGATTTTGAAGGATTTCTGTGGATTTTTGAAGGATTTCTGTGTTTTTTAAAGGATTTTGATGGATTCAACGGATTTTGAGGATTTCATGGATTTTTTCTGGATTTTTTCCGGATTTTTTGACGAAGTGTACGGGATTTTTGGAGTGAATTGCCCCTCGGCTGTTGGTGTATTTGTCTGCCATGCAACTGTATGGGCTGGACCGGAGGAATTATCTGTATGTTGACAAAAAACAAAAAGGTTGAAATATATAGAGAATAATACATGGGTGCGCGGAAATACCAGATTTATTTCGAATGTTGAACATATATATATTGATATCTCACGAGTGAGCGCAGCGAAATCTCTATAAAGCACTATACTCAAATACTCAATATAATAAATGACTTTAATTATAAATAAAACTGATTGTAAAAGACATGTGTATTAATTTAAAACAATGTACACGTTTGCCCAACGTTTTAAACTTCAATTTATGGTGATTTCAACTATATAACTATTCAAATCTTGTATGACGGAACTTTCTCTAAGCCGCATTTTAGTAATTCTGTGTTTGAATAATACTCCGAAACGCAGTTAGTAAAATAATCTTTTTGTACTAAGCCTATATGGTCTAATTATTCAAACACAGAATTATATAACTATTAGTCGAGCGCAATTATATCTATGAATTATATACTGTACATTAGCTCAAACCGAATTAGTTTATGGCAATAATTTACATTAAGTATACGGCATTATAAGTGCGACTTTTGAATTCATAGCCGGATCATGAAATTATTACAATTGTTTATTTAGCTAGCTTTTCCGTTTACAATCACATTGACATCGCACTGCAAAAATTATCATGCCACGCGAAGTCTAAGTCATTTAATAATTAAAGACAAAGTCATTTTTGTTTGCATGTGAGGAAATAGTAAAAAATATTACTTCTAGCACAAAGCTTAAGAGGAATAACTCCAAGTAAGCCTAGCTATATGGCTATGATTTGCCTTCTGGTCATTATTATTTAATTAAAATTTATCTGGAATTTTGACATCGATCGGAAACCTGGCGTTTTGAGATAAACGTTAATGGAGGAGATAATCATATGTACATCAAAACGCTCACGCAAAGTTGCAAGCTAATACCGCATGGCCATTGGTATTGTTTGAAAATTTGGCGCCTTGACTTGATGTCCTTGATGCATATAATACAGGCAATGCTATAATATCAATGCATTGAATTCAAGCTATAACTAAATTGAATATATATTGATTTTAAAGCGTTTTGGAGGGTTGAGGGATGCAGACCGGATGCTGACCTCTATAGCCCGTGATAGTCTATAGAGAATTGAGGTTCGACTTCTGAATAACAAAATAGTAGCATTTTTAGACAGACTGTCCAGACTGAGTATATACAGTAGTACATAAAGACGAAGACAATTCAGGCAAAGACAATAATCTTAAATTGTGTAGCAAAAAATAGCACTCGTTCACACAGAATGAACAATAAAATTGAATCAAGAGTTATAGTGACTTACCAGATAATTTCAAAATGGTTGCTTCGAACCAATTTGTGAAAACAGATTTTGAGTCTTTTTTCTTCGACTTTGTCCGCCAAGATGTTCATCCTCAATCCAAAACACGAGGACAAAACGTTCTTCGGCTGTACCATACTTCGAGCTATAAATTCTACTTGTTACTACACGAACAGCTTGACGAATTTTGATTCTGACCGCCAAAACCGGAAAATTTGATGCACCAATCAGCAAACTAGGTTTTAATTGCGAAATGACATTCTTACTCTGTCAACAGCAAACTATATACTTGATGCCGATCTTATCTAATTTTTAATATTCAATCATCTATACCGGATAGCAACAAGAAAGCAATAGTAGAAATAGAACAACTGAACAAACTATAGGTAATATTAAATTTCTGTCGTATTTCTCACTAAAATGTCGTACAAGTGCGCGTTAATTATGTAAGTGGCAAAAACTTTAATTATTAATAATTTTGTTCCTATTAAATTCGCGTATACTGTACATGTAAACAGTTTTCACCTGACCATTATAAGTCTTTGACCCGCGGTCTTTGTGTATCATATATGTGTTTGTATATGTGCAGCATATACTGTACATATTTAATTATTTTTGACGAAGGCAAAGATGGATTTCCATAAATTCTATTCAGGGCAAAATCTCGATTGCGCGATCAACCTTTTTCGATCGCTTTACGACTATGTCTATCTATAGCCAGGCTTCTATATAGTCTTTCCTCTATGGACTATAGGCGCAGCACATATATGTCATATTATAGGTCGGCAACAGTTCTAACAATTAATTAATACGAAGACATATTGCAAGACCTTTCAAGGCTATAGCTATAGCTTCTACCCAAATAATTAGACAATTCTAGACTTTTATAGTTCGCCAGATCTAACGAAGACATTGGAAGACCTTTCAAGACTTTTACTCAAGACAATTCTAGACTTTTCAAAGTCAAACGAGATGTAAAAGTCTTGCAAGACTTTTGAAAGACAATTTTACTTCCGCAATTGTCTAGCAAAGGTCTAGAATAGGTCTTGTAGACCTATCAAAGACTTTTTCTAGACCTATTTAGATCTTTCATTTTCCTACGGGAAGACTCTCTACCAATCCCCGTTGACTCCGATAGCTCAATGGGTAGAGCGGCGGTCTAGATACCCGAAGATGCGAGTTCAAATCTGAAATCCTGCTCGAGCCAACGAATTTTTCGTTGGTCTATTGCAGTGTCAGAATAATATGAAATCAGTTTAGCATGAGATCAATTCAAGCTAGGAACTGATCTCACGATAGACCATTGAAATTATATAACTGGAACGCTACCTCCAAATGGACATTTGAAGCCAAACGTGAAGGCCAGAGAAAGATAGCTTTGGAATTGGGCTCAATTGCTATTTTGAAGTTGATAGTCATGCATTAATTACTCCATTCCACATAGTTTCGAAGTTGGCCTGTAGCTCCAGAATTTTTAATTCAAAGTCTTAATTCGAACTAAGCTATAAAATCAACTTTGAAAATGTCATTTTCGATGTTTATCAAAACCGTGATCAGTGGTGCCTAAATTACTTTGAATTTGTACTCGAGTAAAAGTAAAATAATTAACAATAAAACGACTTGAGTAAGAGTAAAAAGTACTGGAGGCAAAACGCACTTAAGTAAAAAGTACAAAGTATCCTTAAAAACTACTTGAAGTAAAAAGTAAAAGTACTATTGTCTCTATTGACTTCTCCAATGGATTGACATACAAAAGACACAAAACAACACACGCATTATATGCGTGCATGCACCTCATATACAATATTAGGACCATTATTGCAGACCCCGTTGAAGATATAAGAAATCCATTAAATAAATTATACTTATAAGTAAGCCACAAACGAAAGATCCCAGACGCATGTAGAGGTCCTATTACCTATCCCAAAATTAAAATAAATCAGAAATAAATCACGTAAAATTAAACAAAAGTTAGAAAGTAACGTAATACTTCGCCACAAAATGAAAATAACGAAGTAAAACGTTACTTCTTAAAACGACTTCGTTCCAAGTAAACGGTACTCCAGAAAAAGTTTACTTTGTTACATGCTCACTTCTTAAAAATAGTACTCAAGTACAGTAACGAAGTACATTTACTTCGTTACTTGACACCACTGAACTGTTACTGAACTGTTACTTGACACCACCAACACGTCGATTCCAGCTGTACCAATACCGTCTCCACGAGGATCCGTCGTTCGACTGGGAGCCACAGCTAAATGCCTTCGAGTTTCAACGTTTACTAAACCACTTGGACGAAATAAAGATTCGAATGACTTACTCCGACCAAGGCACCGGAATTATTGATGATATTTCACTGGAATATGCCATGAAAGATGAAAATTCTGTCGACTTTGTCAATTGGGTTGAGGAGTGTACCTGCCCCCCGCCTTACGTGGGGTTGTCTTGTGGTGCTTGTCGTGAAGGACATAAACACGAGACGGTCAATGGCTCATCTTATGATAGGTATGGCATTTCTTGTTACCTAGTATTATTCAGGGGCGGTTGAGCACCCCCACGGTGGGGTGAGTACCACCTACACCCCCACTTCCCTTATCAATCAGACACCAGTCTAGCACCCCCTAAAATAATCTGTACCACCCTAAAAAAAATCAAAATCTGCTTGACCATACATTTTCTGTTTTTCAAATAGTGATTACCAGAACTTCTACTGTTAGCACCTGTCGATTTCTTGAAATGATTTAATTGACTTGTGAGCTCACGAGAAAATACTCGGAATGCTTTAGTTAAAAATATCATAATTAAATATGTAAACATGTCGAGGTTATACACTCAGGGTAACATCACAAACATCATATTCACCTGACTACACAACACCAACACAGAAAAAAATCATATTACTAGATTACATTGGTTCGATTCCCTCCGTGGCCGGGCATATTTTTCAAGCTCGCCCGGTGTGGATATGCACTCAGAGTAACATCACAAACATCATGTCGAGGTTGTTATACAGCCATATTTTCAAATATACTACAACTTTAACAAGCAAATTTACTGTACTGTGCTACAGCAACTGTCCAGTCACGCATACGTGATAAAAAGTCGATATAAACAAAGGATAATGTAAAACGTAACAGAAAGACGAACATGCAGATTCGATCATCTCAAATAATGATAATGTTGGGATAGTAGCGTTGCAGACCGCAGAGGAGAGTGGGCAGTAAGGCTCCCTCATGCACCACCACATGGAAAACCGCACCCCTCTTTGCAGATGGAGCTACAATCTTGGACAAAACCCTTGAGACCATTCCAGCTAATATTACAAAGTTATTGAACATTGAGAAAACAAACTTTGTCCCGCCTCCCTCCCAGTTCAATGTTGTGAACAACGCCGAAACAACTTTTGGTAATATGCCATGACACAAGCTCTACATTGAGTTGGGGGAGCGGGGTTTAAGAAGGGAAACATGATTCAACCATGGAGTTTATCATAAAAATATGCGAATTTGGTATAGGGGGAGAATATAGTCTCAACCAGTTCTGTCCAAGATTGTAGAACCGCCCCTGGCTCTGACCACTGATTTATCTTTCGTTTATCTCACGTCAGATGTGTCCGATGTGAATGTAATAATCATGCAGACAGCTGTGACCCAAACACGGGCAAGTGTCTCTGTCAGGATAACACCGTCGGCGATGATTGCTCAAGTTGCAAAAAAGGTTACTATGGAAACCCGATCGCGGGAAATAAGGACGACTGCAAGCCATGTCCGTGTGTGTTTGGAACACAGTGCATTCTGATTGGTTCAAAAGTCAAGTGTACGGATTGTCCTGAGGGACATCAAGGTAGGAGTTGGGACGATGTAGACATAGATTAAGAACAGGGGCCGGTTGTTCAAAGCTGGGTTAGGGACTGGTCATAAAGTAACTGCTAGAGTGGGTTGGAGGTAAATCACAAATTTTGCCAATAAATTTGGTGACCCATCTTATATTAGGAAGTAGATAAAAATTTCAAAGCCCATCTAATCTTACCAAATTTATTTCATGACCCATCCACCCATCCAAATTGGGAAAATACACTTTTATAATAAAAAAATACTTGCAGGTATGAACATTGTAAATATACACCGGCACTGTATTGACATACACTGTACATAATTCCACCTAGCTTGACCAACACATTCATCACCAATTACGATACTGAGCTGTTCTCCATTTGGTTGTATTTGCTGTGATTCGACCACTTCTTGTTGTTGTATAAAGCAAAGTACTGGCTTCAATAGCAACATTTACATTTGATAATTTGGATAGTTTTGTTTACTTTTCGATTATTAATATCTTTATATAATATATAATTAACATGGTTTTTGTTTGGTGACCCAACCGTGGACATACAAAAAAATTGGCGGCCCATCGAAACTGCCCAAAAATTTTCCATGGCCCATCCCAAATCATTCCAGCCCACCCTAGCAGTTACTTTATGACCTGTCCCTTAGCTTAACCCTAGGTTAACCTAAAATTCAAAGCAAACTTCCTGACAGCTTGTCTATAAATTTCGAAATTTTTCTTCAGAGATCTTGTCTGGATCGATAGGAGTTTACTTCTCTGAAGTTTTGAAATAAACAGACGTGCAGAAATACACAAACTAGAATAGAAAGAATAAAGATAAGATAGGATAAGGGGATAAGGATAGGGTAGGATAAGGATATGTTAGGATAAGATATTTATATTTTATTGATTGTTTATATTTTATTGATTGTTTATATTTTATTGATTATTTATATTTTATTGATTATTTATATTTTATTGATTATTTATATTTTATTGATTATTTATATTTTATTGATTATTTATATTTTATTGATTATTTGTATTTTATTGATTATTTATCCCCCAGGTGACCTATGTGACTCTTGCATTGATGGTTTCTTTGGAGATCCGGCTGGCATCCGAGGCCCGAAGACCGCGTGCAAGAAATGTAAATGTAATGGGAACATTGACACGAATGCCGTTCAGAACTGTGACTCCGAAACTGGCGATTGCCTCAAATGTATCTATAATACCAGAAATGGTCCCAATAATCAGTGCGAGCTCTGCAAAATTGGTTTCTATGGTGATGCCACGACATACCCTAAACCTGGGTGTATACGTAAGTATTACTATAATTGTACGTGCGAAACCGTACTAACTACCGAGTGTCCCCCCCCCCCCAAAAAAAGCTGGAAACTGTTTGACTTCATGTACCGTAAAAGCTATAAAGCTATCGCAACGAAATAAAGATCATCGCATTCAGAAAGGACTAACTTAGATTTTCATATATAGCACTTGAATTTACATGCAATATTGACTGCGCTATTGACGTTTGAACGTTGAACTACTGTTTTTGAAAATGCCAAAAATTAGCATAAAACAACCTTATAATTACCGATGTGGTTATGCTTGTTAAATAATTAGTATTTTTATTTTGGTTGTATCTCGCTCAATATTGCATGTAAATTCAAGTGCTATATATGAAAATCTATGTTAGTCCTTTCTGAATGCAATGATCTTTATTTCATTGCGATAGCTTTTATAGCTTTTACGTTACATGAAATCAAACAGTTTCCAGTTTTTTTTAGGACACCCGGCCTAAATTAAAATAAACATTTGAAACATTTTCACCGTTTGGAAAATCAGCGCCTCAATAGAATCACAGAATAAGAAAGTACAGCAGCAGCGTCACTCATCAAATATTTGTCCGCGTTTTTACAAGCGATTCGTCATCAATCACGCCATCCTGGCTAGTACAACCGGCACTTTGTACCTACCAAAACTTGATAAAAACTTCCGGTTGTACTGGCCAGGATGGCGTGAGCGAGTTAAAATTTTCGTGGACGTAAAACAACAAGAGAACCGACTCGAGTGACGCTTCTGCTGTACCTTCCTATTCTGTGATAGAATGTAATCTGACAATTAACGCCTGTACACTAAAAGATGTTCAATCTGAGCTTCCCTCGAGTGTCAGTGCTATTTTTGACTGAATAGCTGGAGGGTTAGTGTCACACCGTACTATGTGACTACTCACCCTCCAGCTATTCAAAAACAGCATTGACACTCAAGAAAAGCTCAGATTGAACCTCCACTCAATGAATGTGAGTGAGCTTTTAGAATACAGGCGTAAATCACAAACTCATTAACAATTCATGAGTAAATTGACCATTTGCGTAATAGACTAAATTTTGATCTCAACAAAAATTTCAATACAGCTTGAAAGAACATCACAAAATTAGTAATATTCCAAAGTTTCGTTGCAAAATGTTGTAAAATGCGGAAAATATAGCCTTGCGAAATTTGCAATTTTCAGTCATTTAGATTACAAACCGGAAATTGACAGCCTCGAAGGGTTTGGGGCTGTCAATTTCCCGTTTGTAATCTAAAATGACTGAAAATTGCAAATTTCGCAAGGCTATATTTTCCGCATTTTACAACATTTTGCAACGAAACTTTGGAATATTACTAATTTTGTGATGCTCCTTCAAGCTGTGATGAAATTTTTGTCTAGACTTGTTTAGTTCAAAATTTAGTCTATTACGCAAATGGTCAATTAGACAACCGTATTTTGCTCACACGATAATGCTGGATACCTGGCGAAGTATATAAATCATAGGACTGGATCAAAATGAATTAAGTCCTTGTACTGGATCAAAATTAATTCACCTCACTTTTAAGTAGTGATTTATTCATGTGAGATATCATTTCAAGTCCAATTCAGACTATGAGACTTGAAATATATTACAGTCCTCATAGCTAGTCGGATTTGAAATATTTAACAATTATTCGCCGAACGCGTGGTGATTATCGGTGAATAAAAACCGAGACGAAGTCGAGGTTTTTATTCACGATAATCACCGAGCCTGAGGTGAATAATTGTTTTAGTATAATTTCATAGGTGATTATTTGGAAAAAAATTAAAAAATGCACATTTCTTCGTCTTTTAATTGACAAAACGGCTTCGGCCGCCATTTTGAAAATCGCTTAGGTGATTATCGCGTAATAATCACCTCAACGGTAACCAATCAGCGTGGAGAATTTTCAATAATCACCTATGTAATTATACTAATACTTAATAATCCATCATTAATGATCCGTCATTCTATTTAACAATTAGTCGCCGAAAGCGAAGTGATTACACGGCTATATTCACTGAACGTCTGAGCCGAAGGCGAAGTGAATATAGGCTTATAATCACCGAGCCTGAGGCGACTAATTGTTTTAGTATAATTTCAGTATTGAAAAAGTTTTATTCATGAAGACAACTAATACACATCACACATGTTGTTTTATGAATATAATTTGCATAAATAATTTACTTCCATCTGATTGTCATCCATTTTTTGGGAAAATCAATAGTCAATAAAATCAATACCTATTGCCTCAGAGATACTGCTGAGGGAGCCAATCAGATACCCTGGTTTCAGAGGCGCTTTGCGAGGCGAAAGAAACGCGAGGCTTTCCGTTCTCACCTGTCGTTTCTTTCGCTTCGCAAAGAGCCTCTGGTCCTCTGGAACCAGGGTACCAATCAGACTGTTCAAATGCTATTTTTCAATACTGAAATTACACTAATAATACATAATCAACGTATGCATCCATTTAATCTTTACAGCATGTGATTGCCATGAAAATGGGACCTTCGTATCATCCTCGACTCCAAGCAACTCTCCTTTGCCGCCCTGTAACCAGGATGGCCAGTGTGCTTGTCGCCCAAACGTGATTGGCTTAAAATGCGACCAATGCATAGAGAACCACTGGAACATCAACTCTCGGCTTGGCTGTGAATCGTGTAACTGTGACCAATCTGGAGCGTACAATGACAGCTGTGAGTTACATTCGGGACAGTGTGTTTGTAAACCCGGCGTAGGAGGAAGACGATGCGACCAATGTTTGCCGGATCACTATCAGTTCTCTCCAGATGGATGCAAAGGTAAGGCCCAACATGAGGCATAAAGATATGCCACTGTGCATCACTGTGCGTCAAATGCCACTCAACTCGGTCTCTTGATAGTTTATTAGTGAGGACATGTTGTTGACATTTTAGCATAATTTGTTTTAATGTTATATATTGTAGCTTAATGTGAGGGGCCCCATAATTGGAGATTATCTCTGTGGCTAGTCCCTGCCCGAATTGTATGTAAATTTTGTAAAGTATTAGTCTTATTTATGTCTGTTATGTTTGGCGAATCTTGTAAAATTAAAGATAGATAGATAGATCTCAGAACAGCGCGGCCCGGATTGTTTCTTAGATTGACAAGTATCATCATATAACGCCTGTCTTCGCTGGCTCCCAGTTCATTACCGAATAATTTTCAAAATTCTTTTATTGGTGCAAAAGTCACTCAATGGTACTTCTCCTGGTCATTTGACAAACCTATTACATTACCGTACTCATTCGCGATCTTTACGGCAGTTGGCGTTTTCGGTATGTGCACCAAGACTGTGTAACATTTTACCGATAGCATTGCGTAGGTCTAGTTCAACAAACAGTTCTAAAAAGGAGAGACTCTTTTCAAAGAATTTATAAATAGTGGCTCTTTGTATTTGCAAATATGATCCATAACTTTTTAAACATTTTATAGTAATTTTATACTTATATGCTTTGTTATTTATCACGTACAGCGCCATGAGCATGGGATATGTGCGCTTTAGAAATACATTTTATTATTTATTATTATTATTATTATTAATATTATTACGAAATTCACATCGCAGCCCAAAGCTGATTACGTGATCTACAAATTTCGAAAATATTACAATTAAAATATCTAACATTCAGTAAACAGTTTGAAAAGTCATTAGATCTATTAAGCTTATTATTAAATTAAGTCGAATTTATATACAGTTAAAAGGTTAAATAGTTCAATACAAGGAAGCTAACGATATAGCCTGCGCATGACAGGAAGAAATGTTTTGTGACATCTATCAGTGACTGTGCGAAAGTTATTAAAAAAATATTTTGACCATCAAATTGTAAGATTCTTCATACTTCGAGGGGGCTAAAAGTTTTCGCCACATTACATATTTTTTTGCTTTTTCGACTGTTATGGTATATACAGAGTGTCTAAAAAAAACGCTATGGAAATTCAACTGGCTGTTGTGCATCACAAACTTAACTAAACAATTCAATTTTTACACAGGACGAAAGAGCTGTTATTTAGCTTTTCTATGATGTATTTTCTAAACCGTAAAGATGAGAAATGGCCATATACTCGTCAAATAAAAATTTTCGGTGGAAATCACATTCTTCCACCGTTGGGAATTGAAAATACATTAATTATGCAAAGTTAATCAGTCCAAAAGCACCGCGAGTCTGCTGCAAGGTACTTGTTTCGTAAAACGTTTTGATTACGAGTGTTCTCTGATTACGAGGGGTTAATTGAACCATGTTTAATGCAATAATGGACGTTCTTATGGTCTCACTAAGACGAAGATTGACGAGTTGAGCTTATTTTAGATAATTTAACATTCAATTTTAATTCCCTCTTGGAAATTGTTTATGTTTCGTTATCCATACAATTCCCAACGGTGGAAGAATGTGGTTTCGACCGGCAATTTTTATTTGACGAGTATGTGGCCATTTCTCATCGTTACGATTTAAAAAGAGTATCATTGAAAAGCTAAATAACTGTTATTTTGCCCTATGTAAAAATTGAATTGTTTAGCCACGTTTATGATGCACGACAGCCTGTTGAATTTCCATAGCGTTTTTTTTTAGACACCCTGTATTTCTTGCTTTTCAATTTCTCTCCCCCATTTTTTTGTGCCAGTGTTCAAACCACTGTCACCAATTTATATATTGTCTTCTTTAGCTTGCGGCTGTCATGCTGATGGATCACTTGGTGTGTCATGTGATGAGAATGGTCGCTGTGAATGTCGACCGGGGGTACTTGGGGTGAAGTGTGATCAATGTGGGGAAAATCGCTTCAATCTGTCTGCCGGATGTACTCGTAAGTACGACATCATTAATACTATGCCACTGAACTAGGACCAATGAATGATTCAAGCTATATAGACTAAATTTTGATCTAGGCAAGAAGAACAAAATCCATAGGCGCAGCTAGAAAGAGCATGTTAAAATTAGTAAAATTGCAAAGTTTGGTTGCGAAATGTTGTAAAATGAGGAAGATATAGCCATGGGAAATTTGCAAATTTTGTATTAATTTGTATTACGCGCGGGAAAATGCATCATATTTAGGCCGATAGTGGTGCATTTTCCCGTGCGTAAGGGACCGGTCATTATTTATGGCGGGGGGT